AAAAAAAAAAAAAAAAAATAAAAAAAAAAAAAAAAAAAAACTAGATATGGGAAGTGTAATTCCTGAAAATGGGTAACAGAGATTGAAGTTTGAGTGTGTGTCTGTGTGTGAGAAAATCAGAATTCAAAGAAAAACGGAGGAATTGCCATTGACGTATTTGAAGATGCAGGGGATTTTTTTGTGTTTATGTATATGTTCTTCTGCAAAAATAATAGGGAAAGGAAGATATGTTTTTTTTTTTTTTTTGCTTTTTATTGATCTTTTTTTTTCTATTTTTGTGTTTTTTTTTTCAGATTTTTCAATCTCCAACTGAATTGAAAAAATGGGGATGTGAATATTTGTGCTATGATGATCTAATCTAATTAATTTTCCAAAAAAAGATGATGCAATCTAATTACTTCCTCTCAATTTATTTTTATTTTATTTTAATTATTTTCTATTAGCTCGTATTTTTTTTCCTTGGTGACTTGAACTTTCATTTAACACTTTCCTATTATAAACTATGAGAGTATTTAAATTCAAATAAGTACACTACAATTAGTAGTGTGTATTATTCTCTATTCTCATTTCTCTCGATTGCAATCTAATTTTTTAAAAAAATCTTTTAATAATATTTATAGTATACTTTTTTAATATATAAATTTTATTTTTAAAAATAATTATATAAAATTCATTCAAAATATTAATTTAATTTGACTCTCATAATTCGAATCTAGTCGGACAAAATTAAAATTGAGACAGTGTTTAAATTTCAAATAATTACTACAATTATTGATATACTATTTTTAGTGTATGTATATTCAATTAAATTCCATTTATTTTATTATGAATAAAATTTGGAAAGTTGCATCTACACTTTTGGGCCACCAAATCAGCAGGTGTTGTTTGTTAAGCTTTGTGCCCTAACGGCCTAACCTAAAGCTTGGGCCTTCCTTAGCCTTAACTATAAAGGAATTTTAGATTTCTTTTTTTAAAAAAAAAAAATTTGATAATGACATAAAAGTTTGTAGAACAATAAAATAATGTACTGTAAAATTTTGGTACAACAGTCATTAATAACATGTGTTTCTTGTTTTTGCATAGTTGATTTTTTTTTTCTTTAGAAGTGACAGTAAATTGTTTATGTTTATTTTTAGGGATAAGGGTCTGAAAAATACCTTAACTTTGGTCGGATTTGCTGTTGCGATACTAAACTTTCATGAGGATCTATTACCTTCCTAGACTATTTAATACCGTATTTTAAACATATATATTTGCCCACGTGGACATAAAAAATAATGCAAAATTATAAATAGTAATGTGTCCACGTTAGGCACATATTAACCTTTAAAATACACTATTAAATAGTTCAGGGGGTAAAAAATACGTATTAAATAGTCTAGGGAGGTAATAGGTCCTTATGAAAGTTTAGTATCGCAACAACAAATTCGACCAAAGTTGAAATATTTTCCAGACCCTTATTCCTTATTTTTATGTGTTTGTTGTCTTTAAAAGCTTAATTTTGTATATATTAAAAATTGTATTGAGATTCTATGGGTTTTCACTCAATAAAGATTTTAATCTTAAATTATTCAGATTTAGTTTATTGAACACAATTCTCTTATTTATTTTATAATTATTTATTTATTTATAATATATTTAAAATATCTAAATTATGTACAAGGTTTTAATAGTCATCAAGATTTTGTAAGTCTTAAATATTATTGAAATGGAGTTTACCCATGCATGTGAATGTGATCTTTTATTTACCAATACTTCATTCAATTACAATCACCCAATAGAGAAAACAACCGCCGCAACTACTAGGGTCGTTTTGGTTGGAAACAAGTTATCTCGAGATTAATTATTTTGAGATAAGTTATTTCGTTATGTATATGAGATAATTTATTCTATCATTAAGATATAAATAATGAGATAAATAATCTGAAGACTATCAAATACCTTCAACCAAACGTAAGATAAAATAGACTTACATTATATCTCTGAAATTATTATACTTTATATCTCACGTCAAATCACACAACCACCATTGTTGACTTACTTACAACCCTATCAGCCACCAATAGATGAATAATCAATAGCTATCATAACTACCAACTATTTTTACGACCATAAACCAGCTGTAACTATGGACTAAAACCTCCACATTACTACCAACCACAATCACCACAAACCACTATATTAAAAGTGTCACCACTAATAACTATCACTATTTGCTAGCTTATGAACATATTTTATCAAACAAAACTACAAAATCATATAAAATTATGATTGTCGCTTATAATTTTATGAGAAAATTACAGAACAAAGCAAATATGTGATATGTATCTACGATAAATCACTATAATTTTAAAAAATACAATTTGTAGTCATATGTAGGAATTTATAGCAAATTTATTTCTCTTCTCTCTCTCCAGCCCAAAACACATTTCATATAAATATGAAGATTGTATCTTGTATTTTATATTATGTATCAAATGTATTTGCATTTCATATCAACTATATATGTATTTTGTATCAACTGCATGTGTATTGTGTATCAATTGTATTATGACAATTTGTGTTCTGTCAATTGTATTCGTCGACACAAATTGTGTTCGTTAATACAATTGATACAATTATATTCGATATATGATACAAATCAATTGTATCAATTGTATTCAGACAATTATATTTGTATTTGTATTATGTATTTCGTAACAATTGTATTCGTGATACAATGAATATAACATGTATTCATCTTCTTCTCTCAATCTCGTTCGTCTCTCTCTTCCCTCTCTCTGTCTCGATCGCATCTCCCCTTCCTCTCTCAATCTTGCATGTCTCTCTCTTCCCTCTCTCGATCTCGCTCGCCTCTCTCCTTCCTCTCTCAATCTCGCTCTCCTCCCTCTATCGATCTAGCTCGCCTCTATCCTCCTAAAATGAATACAATTGTATTCATTTTGATACAAAGCAGTTGTATCAATTATATTCATGATACAACCTAATATAACAAATACAATATGTATTCAACTTCTCTCACCTCTCTCCTCTCTCTCCCAGATCTCGCTCGCCTCTCTCCTCCTTCTCCTAGTCTCGCTCGCCTCTCTCCTCCCCTAACATGTAGCTATAATTCGTAACTAACAAACTATAGTTATATATATCTAATTTAGCTCAAATTATATTCAATTTTTGAAAGTTTCCCTAATTTATATTATATTTTAATTAATATTATTTAAAATTTTATTTACTAATTCTTAGATAAAAATAAATTACACACATTCAATTGTTAAAAAATAAATAGTTAATATAAATTATTCGATGTTCAATCTAAGTATATCAGTTTAATATTATAATTAGACATCTTAATTTTAATATAAATAAATAAAGTCCAAGTAAGCAAAGAGTTAAACTTAACAGAAGATCAAGAGCTAGTACGTGGATTGTATTTGAGTTTATCGACAAGTGGTTATTTTAGATGTTACGTTGTATTATTCTTCCACCGTTCAAATATTGTTTCGTTATTTTTTCTCTCTCTTATTTTATGTACTAGATACCATAACTCGTGCGAGTATGAGTCCAATATATGTTATTTTATTTATCTCAATTTATGTGACACAAATATAATTAGGCGAGTGAACACAATTTTTATATAATCTTTGGACATTTTAACTTGTTAATTATTATGATTTATTGTAACTTTGAAATAATTCTCAAATAATATATGTTATTTTCTTTGTCTTAATTTATGTGGCACTTGTAAAATTTTGAGAGTTAACCAAATTTTCTAATATGTTTTCTAAAAATATTTTAAGTTGTTAATTATTGTGATTTTTATAGTTCTTTAAACGTAATTTTCAAATAATAGTTTGTCTTTAAATCAAGACAATTTTATTAATTTTTAACCTCATGCTATTTTTAGTGTTAAGTAATTATATAAAACAATAGTAATCAAATTTTAAAACAGATAGAAATATCTATTTTTAATATAGGAGTCAAAGTAAATTAAAACAAAGCAAGTATTAAAATTAGTTACCAAAATGAACAGAATTTCCAACTAAAGAAATTATGATAAGAGCCCACGTGGCCATCCATGAAAACACAAAAAAAAAGGAAGTTGCAGGTTAACACCAAGGAGAGAAATTTAATTGGCACAAAAATTTCATAATTACCAAAGTAACCTCTTGATCCGAAGCTCCTCATTCTCATTTTTAATACTACATGGGTGATGTCCGTGCAATCGCACAATTAGAAGATCACTAAGAAAGTTTCAACGGAAGAAATTTAATTTTATCGTTTGAGAAAGAAAATCTTGCTTGAAAGAATATGAAAAAGAAAGGGGGCTGGGGTAGGGTTGAGCTTCTCATTTATTTATTTTTATAAAAAAAATAGATGGAAAATATATTTAAAATGATTTTCATTCTTTTTAACATAATTTTTTTTTTTCTATAATTAGTGGGCCAAACGCCACATGTTATCTTGTAATTTGTCATGTTACCACATCACAACAAGTGTATTACACACACACTTTTTTTTTTACTCATTATCGAAAAATGTCTAATAGGAACAAGTTTTGAATAGATAAAAGTGTTCAATAGGTACTAGCCCTAATTGAGGTATTTAAGTGAATTATGAGGACAACTTTAAGGGGCCGCATTGACTTAAGCCTTATATTAGATTAAACAACACAAATAATGTTAGCGTGAACTCAATGTATATGTTTGTTTTGAGCA